AAAGTAAATGATTTTATTTTAAGTATTTAAAACTTTAATCTTCTGTTTCATTAAATGTATAATGATACAAATCAGACCTGTAATGATGTTTTAGAAGTATATCTTTCTCTACTCTTTTTAAAATGCTTATTTTATCTGGTCCTAGATATTAAATTAATTTAAATAGCTTTTCTAATTACTTATTTATTTTTAATCCACATAATTATTCTCATTAATTTACATAAATTCTATTATCTCTTATTCATCCTCCTTTCCTAATTGGTAAATATCACTTATAACAAATTGCTATCTTAAAGAATTTTTCACTTAAGTGAAAAATCTAGCTTTTTTTTTTTTTTTATAAACATGTAATATATTTTTATCCCGAGGGGTACAGGTCTGTGAATTGCCAGGTTTACACACTTCACAGCACTCACCATAGCACATGCCCTCCCCAATGTCCATAACCCCACCCCCCTTCTCCCAACCCCCCTCCCCCCAGCAACCCTCAGTTTGTTTTGTGAGATAAGAGTCACTTATGGTTTGTCTCCCTCCCAATCCCATCTTGTTTCATTTATTCTTCTCCTACCCTCTTAACCCCCCACATTGCATCTCCACTTCCTCATATCAGGAAGATCATATGATAGTTGTCTTTCTCCGATTGACTTATTGCACTAAGCATGATACCCTCTAGCTCCATCCATGTCGTCGCAAATGGCAAGATTTCATTTCTTTTGATGGCTGCATAGTATTCCATTGTGTATATATACCACATCTTCTTTATCCATTCATTTGTTGATGAACATCTAGATTCTTTCCATAGTTTGGCTACTGTAGACATTGCTGCTATAAACATTTGGGTGCACGTGCCCCTTCGGATCACTACGTTTGTATCTTTAGGGTAAATACCCAGTAGTGCAATTGCTGGGTCACAGGGTAGTTCTATTTTCAACATTTTGAGGAACCTCCATGCTGTTTTCATCCTCCTACACTGTTGGTGGGAATGCAAGCTGGTGCAACCACTCTGGAAAAATCTAGCTTTTGATGATATATGTGTGTGTGTATTTTAGCATACTACTCATTTATTATGCCCATTTATAAAAGTTATTCTTAAAATACCAGAATGGAATATACAAAGGAAAAATAATGAAAAGTTTGATAATTTGAGCCAAAACAATATGTTAATGTTAAATTTTCAACAGAGTTCATTAAAAAGTCTGTTTTTTGTTTTGTTTTGTTGTTTTTTTTTGAACACTGAAAAAAAATTTAAAATAAAAGTCTGTTTTTAATCTGAAGTATATAGATAAATGTCTCAATTCTGACTTAGAGTGGAACATGTAAATATATTAATTAAAAAATTACAAGAAGGGCACCTGGGTGGCTCAGGGGGTTAAGCCTCTGCCTTTGGCTCAGGTCATGATCTCAGGGTCCTGGGATTGAGCCCTGCATCGGGCTCCTCGCTCAGTGCGGAGCTTGCTTCCTCCTCTCTCTCTGCATGCCTCTCTACCTACTTGTGATCTCTCCCTCTCTGTCAAATAAATAAATAAAATCTTTAAAAAATTACAAGAAAACATTATCTACTGCAATTTTTTTCTTTCTCTTTTCTTCCTTTTGTTTTGAAGGAGTACAAACATGTTAAGAGTCCTTTCCTACTGATAAATGAAAATGAGTATAATATGTTAAACTTAAGGGCAATTTTGCCAGATTAAAAAAAAAACACATTTATAATCTTTGTTTGCTATTAGTTATATACTATTACTAATAATATAGTAGTGAATGTTGATTTTGGAATGTAAAATACTTGAACTCTACTCAAAGATATCAAAGCAAACTACTCTAGCAAGTTTTACCAACTTTATCAAATACCTTTCTTATATTTGAAGTCATGTGTTTTCTCAAGCTGGGAATCCATATCTCTGTAATCATCTGTGCTTGTTTGAAATTTGAGTGACATCAATTTTCATATGTCCTGATCACCTGGTTGAAGGATTTGGTCATGGAGTCCCTAATAGTCTACCGCACACAGGCTCCAACCAAACTTTCTTCAATTAGAAAAAATCAAATATGCATAACACCAATGTTCTATGTCTTAGTGTTCCATCAATCATAGGCTCATTAAAGGCAGGTAGCATATGGTACAAAGTCAAAATACTTTTCTTATCAATGTATAGTTGTTGAAAAGGGATTCTCTAATTGTTCAGTCTTTGTCCTACCAGAGAAGAAATCCCTCCATACCTTGTTAAAGATAGCCTAGAAAGATTCCCAATTTGCACATAGATTATTTTATGAGTTTCTTTATTTTTGAATTGTGTTCAAGCTTATTCTTCCCACAGTGGAAAACAAATAAACAACACACACACACACACACACATAGAGCTAAAAAATACTAGGCTAGGGGTGTCTGGGTGGCTCAGTCTGTTAAGTGTCTAAGTCTTGATTTTGGCTCAGGTCATAATCTCAGGTTTGTGAGACTGGCCTCCACTTGGGGCTCAGTGTTAAGCAGGAGTCTACATGAGATTCTCTGTCTTCTTTGCCCTCTGCCCACCCCTATGTGTGCTCTCTTTCTCTCTCTCAAATAAATAAATCTTTAAAAAGAACCACTAAGCTAATTGTTTCATTGCTATCTTAATAGACTATATAGGTCGCAAAAGGGAAAATTATAATGGTAATGATATTAGTGGTAATAATACTAATAATATTTATGTAACATTTATCATATGCCAACCATTATTTTAAGTATTTTACGTATATTCATTCCTTTAATCCTAAAACAATCCTGTGAGTTAATCACTATCATCACACCCATTTTAAAGATTAGGAAATTGAAGAAAGAAAGGTTAAGTAATTCACTCAGAGATATGGTGAGTGACAGAGGCTAGGCCTTGTAATTTCAGAACTAGTGATCCTAATCACTCCTTTATGCCGTTCAAGCATTTCATTTTCCAAAGAAAAATCAAACGATATAATTAGGGACAGAATCCTCCCGATTTTGGAATTCAATTCCATTTCACTCTTACTGACTCTACATATACTATTTCTAGGTAAAGTTGGCCACTGGTCAAAATTCAAGGAAATTTTATTATAAAATCATTTTCAGAGAGAAAAATATGAGGAATATTTCTATCAAGTAACACTCATAAATAAAAGAGCCAGGGCATATGTAGGATTTTTTTAATCCTGATAGATTATTAAAAGCTAACATAGTTTGAGAATTAACAGTATTGATAGCAGTATGCTAAGTGCTTTCCATACAGTAGCTAAGTTACCCCTTGTCATCACCTTGTGGTGTAGGTGCTGTGATCAACTTCACTTAATGAGTGGAGAAATTAAAGATCAAAATGACTGAGTTGCTTACCCAAGTGTCAGAAGCAAAATTTCAATCCACATAGTATTGCAAATAAGAAGAGTCAAGTTAGATGTTAAAAGGGAAAGTTATAAAAATAAGAGGGCTGTTGAAGAGGGCTGTTGAAGAGGCTGTTGGAGTAGATTTCAAATGTAATACAATTTTTGAAAACCGATAAAAAAGATAAAAATCAGCCACAGACTATTAATAAATATAAAGGAAAAAGAATAAACAGCTATTATTTTTCCATTATGCCAGAGCAGGAAAGTGCTCAGTAAAATTAAGTGTCAATAAAGTAAAGACAAAATTAAACTTTTTTTCTAAGCATAGACACAATTAACCTGTGAAAATGACTCATACTGGATGGTAATGAAGCAGATAGCTTAGTGAAATTGAGAACATATCTGATTCACTATAATGAGATTTTCAGTCAGATCAAATCGCACATTGTATTAGCTATCCTGAGTCAGGGCACATGCTGATGAGCAGAAAGGGTCATCAAAGAAATTTTATTTTTCTCCAAGGCCAGGAAGGTCATGATTAAAAAATAGAATTATAGTAAATATTTATTACATGTACATATGAGGGAGTGTCAGGGAGATGTGCCCGTAGCATGTCAATCAGCTTTGTCCAGTAAGCTCCCATTCTCTACCTCATCCTGGGAAGGAAAGAGACAAAGGCTTCCTTGGTTTTGAGAGAAGAGAAGGAGTTCACAGTAATTTCTTAAGCAATAGAGAAATGGAAATACCTTTATGATGCTGTGGACAGTTTGGAAGGTTGTTCTCAAATGGCGAAAAGTGAGGGTAGGTCTCAACCCAGGAACAGCACAGTTTTAAAGATCTCTGTACTGGGGATCATCTGACTTGGATTTTTGTTCCAATTCTACCACTTCTTGTGTGATAATAAATGATAACCCTTCACTTTAAAGTGTTGGCATTTTCCTTTCTGTGGAGGGTTTGAATTAGTTGAACTCCTATAAGGTTATATATTTATAACATTCCTTTGAATTACTACTGCCTGTATTTTACAGAGGTCTGAATAGTGTCCTTTTAAAAATAAGATTTTATTTAGAATAATAGAATATAGAGTATCTCTGAGTAGAGATAGAATAAATAAATTTAGTAGAATAAAATAATAGAACATAGAGAATGATTTCAGTGTTTCTTTGGGATTCACTGTTCATGCAGTTCCATAATGAAAACCTGTTCAGGGCTTTCAAAGGTGTACTTCTGCTAGACCTGTTCATCTCTTAGCAAGAGAGCATTCCTATTATTTTGATTACTCAGATTACATATTGTAAATTTCGAAATGCTTACTTTTTGAGTATAGTACTTGTTCATACTACCCGATTTTTTTTTTAAATAGTCTGTATCACTCTATTTATGTTCTGAGAACTTTCTCCCTTTGCTGTGTCATCCCTTATATTTTCCTGTTTTCCTGCCAATCACTGTTTCATTTAAAATGTGTCAAGATAGGGCCTGTCATTCATAAAATGGCATTCAAAATAAAACAAAAAAATATGCCATGGAATGACACTTTCCAAAATCACACTATAAAGAATCTATGAATCAGAATTCATCCCTTTTTGAATTAAACATTTTCTTAACTAGAACATAACAGTGGGCACTATTGTAAAATGTGTTGCTCTCTTGTTTTTTTTTTTTTTTTCTTTTTACAGATCTGGATAACGTGGAAGGCATTGCTGTGGACTGGATTGGAAATAACCTTTACTGGACAAATGATGGCCATAGGAAGACCATTAATGTGGCCAGGCTGGAAAAAGCTTCTCAGAGTCGGAAGACTCTTTTAGAAGGAGAAATGTCCCATCCCAGAGGGATTGTGGTGGATCCTGTTAATGGGTATGTGATAGTTGATCAGTTTGATATGAGGAAAATATTGTTTTAATATATTTAGTAGTAACAGGTTTGATTTAAATTCACACATGAATGACCTGAATTGGAAAAGTTACTCATTTAATGATTTTCTCTTGTAGAAAATGTGCTAAATAAATGTGTCAAAATACATTTAACTGAAATAAATGGATTATTTGTGTAAAGGATATATTTACTTGATTTACTCAGACAAGGACCATAATTCTCCATTTTAGACTGTCTGACACTAAGATAAATAATCAATTGAGAGAATCAATCAATTTAATTTTTAAAGGGTGTTAAAATTTAATGTATTCAGAAAATAGAAAAGGGTTTTTTTTGGGGGGGGGTACACTTACTGTGGGGCAGGCATTTTGTTAAATGGGCTCACTATCTGCTGTAATCCTTACAATAATCTTTTGAACTAGTTGCTATTCTCATCTTTGCCTTACAAAGAATAAGTTGATAACTGATTTACAGAAGACCATTAAATTATTAAGTGACCAAATAGATATTTAAACCATCAGTCTGTCTACAAGAATTTACTGAGTCACTATACTCCACTACTTTTTACTAGTCAAGGTTAGAAATCACATAATTCTAGACATAACCACAGTTTTCTTATAGCGAAATCATTCTGTACTATGTGCTACTTGTTTTAGGATGGAATAGTTTGTGAAATTCTCAGGAATATATTTTCCTTTGATTTTTTATTCAGAGATATTACCTGAATACAAATAATACCGTATATCTAGAAATACTGAAGAATGTGAACATTCCTAACAGAATGTCAGAAGTAAATGAATTAATTACATATTCTAAGTGTACAATTGTTATATGTGATGTTTATCCCTCCCATCTCTTACATCACACTGTTTCAAAATAACAAAATAAATATTCTGTATTCCTTACTACACACATAGAAAAATACTCAATTGCAGAGGAAAACTGTGGCTCCCTAATAAACTGAGATCACCAGATAGTAGTTCCTAGAATTGTTTGTGTTGAGAATAGCTCCAAACAAATACAATTAAGGTACTTCTTCCTAGGCTGACATTTAAGCAGTGGATGATACCACTGTATGTGTTTTTATAAGACATAATTATAAAGCAATTCCAGTGATTTTATGTGTGGATTCTATAATTATCTGTCCTATTCCTGAACTTTTAAACCAACTCATCTATTTGACCTTTAAATCAAGGCAATCTTAATTTTAAGAGCAACTATTTATTACACACTGTCTATATCTACTTGAAGCAAGATATCTTAAAACAGCATCTTCCCTATGACCCTGCAATTGCACTACTGGGTATTTACCCCAAAGATGCAGATGTAGTGAAAAGAAGGGCCATCTGTACCCCAATGTTTATAGCAGCAATGGCCACAGTCGCCAAACTGTGGAAAGAACCAAGATGCCCTTCAATGGAAGAATGAATAAGGAAGATGTGGTCCATATACACTATGGAGTATTATGCTTCCATCAGAAAGGATGAATACCCAACTTTTGTAGCAACATGGATGGGACTGGAAGAGATTATGCTGAGTGAAATAAGTCAAGCAGAGAGTCAATTATCATATGGTTTCACTTATTTGTGGAGCATAACAAATAGCATGGAGGACAAGGAGAGTTAGAGAGGAGAAGGGAGTTGGGGGAAATTGGAAAGGGAGGTGAACCATGAGAGACTATGGACTCTGAAATACAAACTGAGGGTTTTGAAGGGGCGGGGGTGGGAGGTTGGGGGAACCAGGTGGTAGGTATTAGAGAGGGCACGGGTTTCATGGAGCACTGGGTGTGGTGCAAAAACAAGGAATACTGTTATGCTGAAAATAAAATAAATAAATAAAATTAAATTAAAAAAAACAGCATCTTCCTACTCAGTATTCTGTTAGAGAAATATTTTGTTATAGAGTTAAAGAGTATTTGTGGTGCTCACACAGATAACGCAAATATGGAGGTCATAGAATCATGTGATTTAGAAAGGAATTTAGAGGCCACTAGTCCCATCTCTCTATTCAAATTCAAGAATCCCCTTCAACAGTTTCCTAATAGGCAGATATACAACTTGGATTTGAAAACCTATAACATCTACATAGTTTATAGTATTTGGGGGCAATTCCAGTTGACTTTTTTTTTTCTTTTTATTAAGGGAATATCTGCATCTCTGTAATATCTGCTAGCTGACCCTATATTTGCCTCTGGTGTTACAAAGAATGACTTTTATACCTTTTGCATTAGACATCTTCTATTTTATATTGTGCACCAACCTGAAAAACACATATGTGTGTATGTATGTATATAATGCATATATATTTGCATATACATACATTTTTCCCCCCTAGCAATATACTATTCCTAGAATTTTGCACTAGGTATATAGTTAACAAAACAGGCATAGCATTAAACCTTGTGAAGCATCTTCTGCTATCTGCAAGGTGGGGGATAGGCAAATAGAGCAAGAAATAAGTACCAAACAAGCATCTAATGTAATTTCTACAAACCAGAATGCAGGAAGAGAACAAACAGGATGACATAATGGAGACTAACAGGTAGAACAATTTCAGTAGGTTTGCAGAAAGGACTCTATAAGGAGGCATATTTTAAATCAAGACTTCACTATCTATAGGAAATGAATCATCAATGGACAGTGAGGAAAAGAGTATTTCAGATCAGAAAATGGTACATTTGAAGATCTTAAGTTGGGTAAAAGCTTGACTATCAGAGGAATTGAGATGAGGACAGCGGAGCTGAACTATTGATAGCAAGGGAAGAAGTGATAAAGATGTGTTTGGAAAGAAAGCAGGATCTTGTCTGCCTGAATGAGAGCTTTGTGCTTTGTCTTCAGTGCAAGTGTGGAATAGGGAAGTGAGAATTAAATATATATTTAAAAAAATCTAATCTGACTGTTCTATGGAGAATGGATTGGAAAATAACAGTAGAATTGTGTGAATTTAATTGTCCAAATAATTGTTTGACCATAATATAATTTTTAAAAAAGAAGACAAAACTTTACCTTGGAAAGTCCACTTAAAATAGGCACAATATAACTTCACAGAACATTAAAAATGAGAAACTTGATTTATTTACATTTTTTCCTATGATAATACCTATTTGTAACTCTACACAAGAGGAAAGAATTACAGGGTTTTCCTACTATAATAGCCAATTTAAAAAAATTACTTATTTCAGAGCTAAGCTTTTTCCAAAGTTTCATAAACAATGACAGAATCAGTAAAGAATTTGTTCATTTACTTCTTCATTAAAATATATTCTTGATTAACTACCATATAGAGCAATAGAAATCAGTAAGACAGTAATTGCCCTCAAGGAGTTTATAACCTGGTGTGCTTGGTGTACACACATGTGCACACACAAATCACATATTAAATAAAGTAGAATGAAATAATGCTCTTCAAAAAATCATTGAGGTTTTCAATTCAGAATTGAGCTTCAGAGAATGAATAGGATTTCTCATGAGTAGATTTGGCCTTAGGGGCTTAGGATGTACAGTCATAAGGTTAGTCACTGTACTCTGACAGGACATTTTCAGTATGTGTTTAGAGGCAGGAATGTTAATGGCAGTTTTGAGATGAGATGAGTTCACTAAGGTTAGGGCAGAGGGCATGTGAAGGAACATAGTAGGAGATAAAACTAGAAATATGCAGAAATCTTCAATGTTGGGGTTAAAAGATGGAATTTTTTTTTCTTCTGACAGCAGAGTAATTGGAAGGTTTTGAGAATAAAAGTCACATTTTTCAATTCATGATTTAGGAAGACAAGTAATAGAAATATGATGGTTGTATGGGAACAACCTGTTAGAAGTTCCCTTTGAAACGGGATAAAAGACAGAGTACAGCATTTGTAATAGAAATAGCAAAGTGGGGATTGGGTAAAGAGACACTGAAAGAATGGAATTTTCAGGCCTCAACAGTTGTAGAAATGGGGATAAAGCTGGAGGAAGAATTGGTCATGATGGCACTGTTTCTCAAACTGAGAGCTACAGATGAATTCCCACCTCTCCAGTAATTTCACACTTCACAATTTATATCAGTAACTTAGAAACCTGCGTCTCCAGTTCTGACTTCTCAAAACATTACCTTTAGTAAGTACGTCCAAAGCTAAGGGCATATTTCCCCTCAAACATGATCTCTGGTATCCCTATCTCAATTAATAGTGCCATACCCTCTAGTTAGCAGTAGCTATTATGGTAGCACTAAACTGAGGGTTTTTTTTAACAGTAAAGTTTATGTTTTTTTCCATGGCATAGAAGTGCTTAATGATTTAAATATGTCTAGGTGACCACATAATATAATATAATATAATTTAATTGGGGATATGATCAATATTAACAAATGCAACCTTAGTGTTATAGGGTACAAATACGAATAAGAAATAATTCCTGCCATTAATTATTTTAATTTTTAATCAAAACAATCAGACATGTAACACCATTAAATATCACATAAGGCATAAATGCAATAAACATTATTTAAAAAACTAAAAAGAAATGTCACTAAGAAACAAAGGAAAGACCTTATTTTCACAGAAAGGGTAGAAATAGACTTCATCAAATAATTGTATTTGAACAGGACTTGAAAATTAGAGGTGCAGTTTTTCTTTCCATATTAGCAGAAGGCTTACTTAACCTAATATTTATTTAATGAATACCTGAGTTCCACATATAAAAAGATTTATATTAGTTTCTGCTTACTTTATAGGTTATATTTCCTATTTTCTATGTTTAGGAATCACCACATTTCATACTGATTATAAGGCTTCCACAATATAACTTTTCATCACATAATGAAGTTGATAGATGATGATCACATACCTAGCCTTGGTTAGATTAGCACCCGTGTTTAAATTTTTTCTCATATTCTGTTTGAATAAAAATAATCTTAGATAATGGATCAGATAAATGATTTCTAAATACCAGAACAATATAAATTATGCTTAGATTCACCAGAATTACCCCTCGTGTATGTGTCTGCGTGTATATGCAATTTGGGTTGGAGAATCAAAGGAAAAAAAAAGAGAGACAAAACCTACAGGGGAAGATAATTGCAATTTTAACAAGTTGTAAATTAGCAACAACAATAAAACTGCATTGATTAACCATATTTAATATTTCATGCAGTATTAATAAAGATAAAAGTTGTATATTTCTCTTTTACGTAGTTGATTTATACAGTAGAAGTCAACTAGTTATATCCAACAAACATAGGACTAGAGCAAATGGAATGACTGTCCTGTTTGCTCCCAATTTGTTCCAATCATAAGACCACTTGAAGAACATGCTGGATGTAAGATAAACATATTTTCATGTTTATTTCTAGGATTAGAATGTATTTTTACTTAATAAAGTTCACCAATCTCAATATATTTCCTTAAGTCTAAAAAGACATAGCAACATAATTTCAAACTGTTAAGGGAATTTTTAAAAAGCTTAACTGGTATTAAATAGTGAATGGTGTGTTACATCCTTAGTTGTTCCAAATCTTTCTGTTTAGATCACAGTAGGATTTTTTAGTCAGGGAAACCGATTTTTCCCAAAGTACCTCAGAAATTCTTTGGGGTCCACAAAATGTGGGAGGCAGAGGAACTACTAAGGGCACTTTTAGGGTCAGCAGCTTAGAAAAGCTTTAGAGCTTTATTTATAAAGTTGTCGATGAGGTGACTGAATTAAAACCTACACTTTAATTAATAACTCCAGAACTTTCACATGACCCTGGAGCAACACTTGTGGAGGGTTTTAACCTTATTCATGAGGGAATTAGAACATTAGCTCAAGGCCCCTTTTCCCACTGTTATAGCTTACACAAAAGACTTGTTTTTAAAGGCAGAAGCTTTTGTTTGAGATAGAAATTAAACCTCAAAACTCAAGGTCAGTCAACCCGATGTTATTAAACTTACGCACCGCTAAATCATCTTCTGCGGGTTTTGAGGTAATAATAAGCAGCAATAAAGCAGAGATAATTTGCATGAGGAAGACAAATTAGACTTGGCCAAATAAACCCAGTATGACCATACCCTTTAGTACAAAGACAATCCAGTTGCCTGTCTTACAAAATAATAATTCAACTGAGATTAAATAAAGCCTGGAGTAGATCGTTAACGGCACCATGTGTTCTCAGAAGCACATAATTGATTATATGTTTTCTGAAGTGGACAACATCTAAAAATAGGAATGCTTTGAAAATCATTTTCCAAGCTTGGTATCAACACCAAAGAAAATCAGTATTTGGCACTTCGTGTTAGGCTAAACAGCAAATGGGACCAGTGAGTGTGGTAGTGGGTTTTCTGTGATGCGTCTGAATGTGGCTTCACAAACACATCGGTACTTCCACGAGGACTCCACAGATGCCCCCTCGTTTTGGCAGATGAGCATTTAGATAGGAGGAGAAATCAGAATGTAATTCGATTTTAGGGCAGTGCCCAATCTAGAGAAGCATCCCTCTGTATGGTGGCTGTTTGCAATAACATGTGTGCACTCTTGTTTTTAACGTCTTAGTTGGATGTATTGGACAGACTGGGAGGAAGATGAAATAGATGACAGCGTGGGAAGGATTGAGAAGGCCTGGATGGATGGCTTCAATCGGCAGATTTTTGTGACTTCAAAGATGCTGTGGCCAAACGGTTTAACTCTGGACTTTCACACCAACACATTATACTGGTGTGACGCCTATTATGATCATATTGAAAAAGTGTTTTTGAATGGAACTCACAGGAAGGTAAAAGAAAAATACTGCCTTTTTAAAAAAAAAAAAAAAGAAAATTCACAGCCTTCTTCTTCACAGAGCCTTGTTGTGTTGTGGTAAAAAAAAAATACTTTCAAGTTTATTTTTACCCCTCTGAGGTGGCTGCCAGTAGTCTCTGTGGGGTGGCTAAAGGAGGCTGAGCATTAAGTAGTGCAGCTGGCTCTTGCCTCCAGGAGACCAGGACTGGCTCACTGTGGTATGCCAGGATTTGTGGGATTTTAAAAAGAAGCTCTCAGAATATCAGAGCTGTTTTAAAATGCAGTTTTTCTCAATTATTTATGAGTTTGCTATGACCAAGCAACCCAACACTATTCAAGTATCTTTAATATTTGCAGGTGAAATTTAACCTCTATATTATGAAAAAGTAATTATAGTACATTTATTTAAATAAAGAACTTCATGGCAGTGGAGTTGAAACACAAAATGAACTGGACTTCAAGCCTATTGCTATGAATAAATATCAACTTCTTCTTGCCTCTTTTGGTAGGATCATTGCAAAATGATTTTGAAATTCTTGGGTAAATTGGAGGATGGAGTTGACTGGGTGCCAAAAAGGGCAATGTTGACAAAACAACACATCTCTATCTTATTTTATAATAACCTGAGTCATATAACACAATGAACTGACTTTAACTCTTTAGTTAAATAATAGGAAATGAAATGTTAAAAATACTCAAAATGCTTCCATTGATCAAAATGCTCTCTTTTTGGAGAGAAAGACTGCACAGTTGGCCAGGCCTACTCATTATGAATTCTGTTTGGGAGATAAACAGTACAGTAATCAATTAAGACTGCTTTAGTCATTGGTTGACTCTAACCTTGCTTTTAGTGTTTTTCCCCAAATAGTAAAATTGATTGGCATTTAACCTAATGTCACATACTTAATAGGTGCCAGATAAATATGTATGATTCCTCTAAAGATATTGATATGTCCACCACATGGACAGCATTGTAATGGCTAGCATATTTTAACCTTCATGGAGGTGAGAAAATAAAGTAAAAAAAACTTAATTATTCAGTATATGAATATGTGGTATAAAAATTTCAGATAATAGCAAAAATTGAATTTTTAACCCCACATTAGATAACTTCTTCAATTCTTTAATATTAAGTGGAGTGTGTACAAAATGCTTTTTCATGTTGTATACAATATCATTTTATAAATGGTGAACAGTGAAAAGGTATTATTGGAGGTGTGATTCCTTATTCCTCTTCTACAAGTCTCTGTGTCAAACAGCACTTATCATATGATTGCTCTAGTTAAACAAAAACAAAATACAACTAGAATGTAAAGAATATACTAAGAAAACCAGAACTGAAATGAGCCAGTGAGTCTTGTTTATCTACTTACAACTAATAAATGTTTCTGTGTTCAAAATTAACAACTTAACCTCCCTCCTAATCATTTCCTAGATTTCTTCAGTTTGCTTTGGCGCAATTAAGTAGGAGAATCCCTTTCACTCCCAATGTTGTAAGACAATGTTTTTTTTTATTCCTTGGCTGTTGGATAAGTGATATCACAATACACAATATCACAATACACTAATTGCTCAGATCAGTTTCCATTCCAGGTTATGATACTGGGCTATCATAAGGAAAAGAGCAGGAAAGCAAAGTCATTTTAATGTTTACATTTCTTGACCATATGAGTAATGTCATATATGAAAGGAATTAAATGGATGAAATACAACTGATCTTCTTCAAATACCATGTCCTAAAAACAGGAAAATAAGCTCACATTGTGAAATGCATTTTTCAAATGGATTTAGTTATTAGTTAGATCCTTATCTGTTATACTTATTTGACTATCCTTTGCTCTAAAAGTTTAGTTACGTTTTTAAAGGTCAGTTCTGATTTTTCACAATGTGTTTATATTTTACAGGTTGTTTACAGTGGGAAAGAGTTGAACCATCCTTTCGGACTGTCGCATCATGGGAATTATGTGTTCTGGACTGATTATATGAACGGTTCCATTTTTCAGCTAGATTTGGTAACAAATGAGGTGACATTATTGAGGCATGAAAGACCACCCCTATTTGGGCTGCAGATTTATGATCCACGAAAGCAACAAGGTATTAAAAACCATATAAAAATTCTATTGACTTCTACCTACGGTAATACTTCACAGTGTTGGCAAAATCTTTGGTTTTGTCAGTGTTGCTGAAGTTTTATGATAAAAGGTGTCCAGTCACTCCAAAGTAAATCAAATCTTAGACTTTGTTACCATAACCTTTTATTATTTATTGTTCAAAATAGCCTAAGTGAGTAACTGGTTAATTCTATCTGAGTGAAATTCAAGGATTGCTCTTTTTTCATGTCATCTTCATGTAACTTAGACTAAGGAAGACTGAAGAAGACTAATATTTAAAGTAAAAAATAAAAAAAAATCCATTTAATGTTTTAAAGATTAAGTATTGTGAGCAGTGGGAAAAACTTTTCATGGGAAGGAAGTTTTATGTGAAAATATTTTGAAATAAGTCATATTATGAGAAGAGTATTGTAAAAAGTGTATTAGTATATTTATCTGATTAGTTTCATGTCCATTTAAGGAACGTTTAAATATTTTAGATATTATGAAAGGGAAATAATCTACATAAGATATTCATGACTTATTAAAATCAGATAATATTATCATATATTTTACCTACATGAGTTATTAATATTTATTATACCATCTACAAATTGCTTGACTCAAAATTTAGGTATTAAACATAGAAACAGCTTAGTAAATAATGTGGTAGACTTTTGTTATGAATCTAAATTGTCACAGTTCCTTTTATTTATGGAGATATTCTTATGAAAATTTAATGAGCATACATTTCAATAAATTTAGTTTGAAAAAATAATATCCTGAGTTTTTCAATGCATATATTGTCAATAGAAAGTTATCCAGTAGTAAAAGACTTTTTTTAAGGTACTTCAGCTAAATCAGAGATTTTAAAAGCAAATTTTCTCATTGAAGTGCTTGTATTTTTTTTTCCTACTGTATTAAAATTGCCTCATTGGGATACAAATACAATTTTATAAAATAATGGAAGTATATAAAGTGAGAAATTTCAATAAATAATGAAAGATAAAATCTTCAAAAAAGAATAAAAGTGAAATTATTTGAAGTGGTATAAGCTATATTTTTGGACAAGTAATGAAAGATCGTGACAATTGTCTAGATAGATAATATGGTAATGTTTTCTATGACATTCATATCCATCCTTCTCCTTACCTCCTCCCATCCCCAACCATTACTGAGAGTTTACCCTGAACTGGAGGCAAGACCCTGAAAAGGAACAGCTCTTCTCATTTCCTGTAGGGTCTTCATTTCCCCATTGTTGTTCCCTTTAATTTCACAATCATTGGTTTCCTGGATTTTATTACAATAATCAGTATACAATCCCATTTTCTATTTCCATTCTCTTTAGAAGGTGTTAATCTTTTTTTTTTTTTTTAAGATTTTATTTATTTATTTGACAGATCACAAGTAAGCAGAGAGGCAGGCAGAGAGAGAGGAGTAAGCCCTGATGCAGGGCTCGATCCCAGGACACTGAGATTATGATCTGAGCTGAAGGAAGAGGCCTTAACCCACTGAGCCACCCAGGTGCCCCTAGAAGGTGTCAATCTTGAATGTCATCGCTGAACTCCTTTGAGCCAAATTCCATGATGTTTTCAGATTCTTCATTTCTTCAAACTTGTAGTTGCTTTAGAAGGTTGATGAATTAAATGCAGCATATGAGATAAAAAAGACCTGACTTATAAAAATTTCTTGGGCTCAAATCCAGGTTCCAGCACTTTTTCTTCTGAAACTGTAGGCATATCATAAAAAATCTAACAAAGATAATAAATGCTTTCTTCATAAAATTCCTATAAGGATTAAATCACTATTTGATTATGATTACTTAGAAAATGTGTGGGAGACACACAGTTACCTATCACACATTTTAGATTAGTTTTCCTTTAACATTTCTCTATAAGGAGGCATTTTGTTAAAGTCTCCTTTCATATAAAAATGTTAAATAAATATTCGAAGGAACAGTGTATCACAATCTTATACAATGGGGCTCATGCCTCTGATAGGACTATGTGGAATGTTCTCCTGTATTTCATGAGAAAATATGCCTGGTGTTCTAGACATCTCTATTGACATATAATTGTTCAATTCTATCTCTGGGATGGACAATGCTTTTTTAAAGTGCTTTTTAAAAAAAATTCAATTGAAGGGATATTAAAATCAATGCTTAATCATAATTACTAAACTCTTTGTACAAATGTTATTATAGAAACCATTATATTCTGTCTTACTGAAAGAACGTGTTTGGGCAAAATGATTGATTATTTTTCATAGACCTAGCTAAAATAATCAATTAGTTTGAGTTTTCTACCCAGTCTTCTTATAGTTAAGGAATAAAAAAGTAATAGAGTATGGAAAGGTTGTCTGGCCAACATAATTTTCATTGAGTCAATAGACATTGAGATTGGATAACCTACTTAGGATTTAAATTTTTAATATTTTTTTGCCAAATTAATCAGAATAGGTAGGTTATAAAGCAAAATGCATTCAAATGTTCAAATGCAGTTTGTAGTATTTTACCATATTATAAATTTCTCTCATGAGAAAGAGAATGGTATTTTTCTTTGCATCTTGTGAACATCAGATACTAATAAATATTTAGAAACACATAATCTGTGATAATCTTTGGTTACATACCATCTTCTTAGACTGTTTTTCCAAGAATAAAATAGTTGCAGTTGAATAGAAAACCAGCTTCCTACATAGGTACAGATGATTATTTCTTCATGGAATGGATAAACTAGTCTTATATAGCCTTGTATTTTCTCTCTCTGAGAGACTATGGTATATGATTATGTAACTTATATAAACTTATATGTAGTATTTATACATGTGTCTGTAAAAAAATACATATAGTGTGTGTATACACACATGTATGTAGTAGATGCTAGATAATATCACACACGCATACACACATGCCCCACCCCATAGGAATACCATGAAAAATATCCAGGAAGGTTATTAATGTAACACTAATATTCATATTAATGTAACATCTAAACTCTTTTAGACTTATTGTCAGAAAATTAGCTAATTTGACCTCTCCAGATCAGAAGAGGCTCTTATCAAATTATTTGTTAATATAGCAGCCAGTTTCAGGAAGGTAGATATATAACCATACTAAACAGAAAGCTGCCCTTAGGAATGAGTTCCTAAGTAACACCCAAACATTTTTTCTCATATGCTACTGTTGTTTCTTCTGATTTAACTGATAAACTTTTCTCCTTTTTCATTCACATTAGATATCTAGAAGAATTCTTAAAATCCTCTCCTGAAATTTCTCAGAAAAATTACAGCAATTGCATAAAATTAGCATACTTTTACCTGTGTATTCTCTAGGTTCAAAACCACACTTTTATTTTTCTTAAATGTTCTAGAGAATGAAATTATCAAAACTAAGTGCAATATCTAAAAAGCGTTAATGAATAGTTTCCTATACAGAATTAAAAATAATCGATTAGCTTCTATGCCAAACATAGGAATTTTATTTTATTTTATTTTTTTTAAAGATTTTATTTATTTATTTGACAGAGAGAGCTCACAAGTAGGTAGAGAGGCATGCAGGGAGAGAGGGGGGGAAGCAGGCTCCCTGCTGAGCAGAGAGCCTGACGCAGGTCGATCCCAGGACCCCGAGATCATGACCTGAGCCGAAGGCAGTGGCTTACCCACTGAGCCACCCAGGTGCCCAATATATGAATTTTATTAACTAATAATTAACTATAATTCTAACCAGCAGGAAATGAGCTAAATATTCTTATTTGAATCTCATAAAAGATGTTTAAGGTAGATATTATTGATTTCTATTGTACATCTGAAAAACCCAAGAATCAGGCAGATGTAGCCATTTGACCTCAGGAAACAATGAGTCAGGGATAAACTGGGATTCAGGTTCAGGTTTGTCTGACAATACAGTGTTTTTATGTGACCAATTTATGTGGCCAAATTTAAGAAAATTATGTAAAACTACGATACTTTTAGATAGGAGGAAAAGAGTATGTCTTTTCTGTAGTCATTATAGTTTTGTCATTGATAAATTATTATTCAAAACTTCTTTAAAAAAGTTCTTGACTACCTTATAGAAGCCAGGATTCAGAGATCTTATATTACAAAGCACTGGTATAACAAACACAGTAATTTTTATTTAATATATAACTTGTTTATTAAACACATTATTGTGTAGGTCTACTAACATTTACATTTAGTGATAAGGTCACCATCACAAAATTTGTCTTTCTTTCCAAATTTTCCATTTTGGAAATAATCACCATCAAAAATAACCCAAAAGGCTAATTAGGCTCTTAATAGAATTAACGTGTTCTAACACACACACAGAGACACACAGAGGCACACCCCCCCACATACAAAGTAGCTTCAAAGCAAGGCAAATGTAAACAAAATTTTCAATGAGTATATAATCCTCCAAGAGAGAAAAGTCATATTTTATCATTTCCTTGGATTCATTGACATCATTCAAAGTTTATTCTTCTGAAATTATTCTATCCATTTCAAGTTCATCTCTGTGTATGGTGTAAGAGAATGGTCGAGTTTCATTCTTCTACATATAGCTGTCCAATTTTCCCAGCACCATTTATTGAAGAGACTTTTTTTCCACTGAATATTTTTTCCTGCTTTGTCAAAGATTAGTTGGCCATAGAGTTGTGGGTCCATATCTGGACTCTCTGCTCTGTTCCACTGGTCTATGTGTCTGTTTTTGTGCCAGTACCATGCTGTCTTGGTGATCATAGCTTTGTAGTAAAGCTTGAAATCAGGCAACATGATGCCCCCAGTTTTGTTTTTCTTTTTCAACATTTTCTTAGCAATTTAAGGTCTCTTTTGGTTTCATACAAATTTTAGGATTGTTTGTTTCAGCTCTTTGAAAAATGCTGGTGGAATTTTGATTGGGATGACATTGAAAGTATAGATTGCTCTGGGCAGTATAGACATTTCAACAATGTTTATTTTTCCAGTCCTTGAGCATGGAATGCTTTTCCATCTTTTTGTGTCTTTGATTTCTTTCATGAGTATTCTGTAGTTCCTCGAGTACAGATCCTTTACTTCTTTGGTTAGGTTTATTCCCAGGTATCTTATGGCTCTTGGTGCTATAGTAAATGGAATTGATTCTCTAATTTCCTTTTCTGTATTTTCATTGTTAGTGTATAAGAAAGCAACTGATTTCTGCACATTGATTTTGTATCCTGCCACGTTACTGAATTGCTGTATGAGTTCCAGTAGTTTGGGGGTGGAGTCTTTTGGGTTTTCCATATAAAGTATCATGTCATCTGGGAAGAGAGAGAATTTGACTTCTTCTTTGTCAATTTGAATAAATTTTATTTCTTTTTGTTGTCTGATTGCTGTTGTTAGGACTTCTAGTACTATGTTGAACAAGAGTGGTGAGAGTGGACATTCTTGTCATGTTCCTGATCTCAAAGGGAAGGCTGTCAGGTTTTCCCCATTGAGAATGATATTCGCTGTGGGTTTTTTCATAGACAGATTTTATGAAGTTGAGGAATGTTCCCTCTATCCCTATACTTTGAGTCGTTTTAATCAGGAACAGATGCTGTATCTTGTCAAATGCTTTTTCTGCATCAATTGAGAGGACCATGTGGTTCTTCTCTCTTCTCTTACTGATTTGTTCTATCACATTGATTGATTTGTGGTTGTGGACCCACCCTTGCATCCCTGGGATAAATCCTACTTGGTCATGGTGGATAATCTTTTTAATGTTCTGAATTATTCTAGATAAAATCAGGATCTGGACTCAAAATCCCATTCTACTAGTTTTATCCAACTTTTAGAATGAATGTAAAGTCCAATTTCTCTTCTAAACTATAAGTCAAACTGTCTTTCCATCAAGTAGGATAAAGAAAGTCTCCATTGGTTTATTTGTTTCATATTAGGTGCAGAGACTTCTAACTTCACGTGATAAAACTCTGAGAAGTGAAGAGTCCAGAAAGCATGTAGAAAAGGGGATTTATTCCTTTCAGTATTCTAAAGAAGATTTAGATAACATGAAACAGTGGGATTCCTTTGTGGTGGTGATTTACATATTCTGTCATTTGCTAGAAATGAAAGATACTTTATTAACAAAAATTAAATTACTAAGGTCTATAAACAGTGATATTTTACTTTATTATTTTATTTGATGTTTTACTTTATTATTTTATTTGAGTATAGTTGACACATAACGTTACCTTAGTTTCAGGCATACGACTTAGTGATTTAACAAATTTAAACATTATACTAATGTTCACCACAAGTATAGCTGCCATCTGTCCTGTTACATTGCTATTAAAATATCATTGACTGTATTTCTTATGCCCTGCTTTTTATTCCTGTGACTACTCATTCCATAACTGGGGGCCTGTATCTCCCTCCCCCCCTCACCCATTTTGCCCATTCACCCACCCACTTCCTTCTGGAAACCATCAGATCTCTGTATTTATATTTCTAATTCTGCTTTTTGTTTATTTATTTTTAAAAGATTCCATTTTTGAGTAGAATCATATTGTATTTGTCTTTCTCAGTCTGACTTATTTCACTTAGCATAATACCCTCTAAGTCCTTTCATGTTGTCTCCAGAGACAAGATTTCACCCTTTTTTTATGGTTGTATAATATTATAATATTTCTTCATGTGTGTGTGTGTGTACACCACATTTTCCTTATCCACTTGTCTGTTGATGGACACTTAGGTTGCTTCCACGTATTGGCTATTGTAAAAAATGCTGTAATAAATATATGGTGCATTTATCTTTTTGAGTTAGTAAGCACTGATATTTTAATATAAGCTTATAAAATGTTTTCATATATCATTTGTGTCTTTATTACTGTTCTTTGACCATTATAATACACCTTTAAATAATCTATCTTGAAATGCAAAGTATGTAGACAGAATATGTGTAAATGAAAAAACCCCCTTTATCTTCTTAAAACAGACTTATCTGTATCAATATACTTGCACCTTGTATCTACACAAGGTGATTGTTTCTGTCATATTGCTAATTAAAATTCATTCATTCATTCATCAACTAATGTTTACCAATCACACCCTTCTGTGCCGGATTCTATAAGGGGTAGAATAATTCCACTTCTCTTACTAGGGGGAAAAAGACAAAGATTTTTGCCCAGACAGACCACTATTTTGAACTTAATTTTGTGAGCTACTCCTCATTTGTTTTCGTTGAATATTTGATTCTTTTTTTTTTTTTAAGATTTTATTTATTTGACAGAGAGAGACACATCGAGAGAGGGAACACAAGCAGGGGGAGTGGGAGAGGGAGAAGGAGGCTTCCTGATGAGCAGGGAGCCTTACGTGGGGCTGGATCCGAGGACTCTGGGATCATGACCTGAGCTGAAGGCAGATGCTTAACAATTGAGCCACCTGGGTGCCCCATATTTGAGTCTTTTAAAACTATTTGCTTCCACAGTAATTTAATCTAGGATTTCATTATGTTGTTTCCTCTTTTATTTTTTCCCGTCCTTTATTGATTTAATTTTATTTTGTCATATATAAAGAAGAGTAAGAGCATGAATTTTAGGTTGAGAAAAAAATCCATGTTTCTAATTATTTATAAATAATGAGGATAATACATAATAATCCTTATTCTAAATCTTTATTTTAATAAGGATTATTAATTTCTAGGCATTAGAAAAGTCATTTAAACCATATCTCACTAGTAATCCCATCTGCAAATGAGATTAAACTTACCTTAGAAGTTTATTATAAAAAAAAATAGAATTAATTTAAGTGTATATGTATAATAAATAAATAAATATATAATAAAGTGTCCCTGGTATTGATGATTATTCATTGATATTTATGTATACAATTTTTAATGCTGTTTGTAGTCACTAAATCATATTTTCAAGACAATATTTTTACATTAAATACAACCTACTAGAAAGTCAATAAATACTGCCACATGAGCTGTATCTAAAATATGTTGGAGTAATAAATTCAAAAATATTTTCAGATACTGCTAAAAAATAAAGATCCAGGCAATTCCCATGAATGATATGGAATTATTCACATTAATTTTGATTTTGGATTTCTATCAGGGCAGGATAATTACCAATTCCTCTTTTTAAAATTTATAGTATTCACAGAAAGGGAATATATTTAAAAGTTTGAGTAATGGTAATTTATTTCTAAATACTTAAATTTCATATTCAATGAGAATGGTAAGCATGACTCATGCTATTAAAAAAGAATGATATTTAGCATATATTTTTAATATGAAAATGTGCCGTGATATATTGCTTTCAGTACTTCCTTATTTTTTACTGTTTTAAATTCTTCATATAATTCTCAAAATACTTTGTTTAAATTGAATTTTCAAGAATCTGAATGTTACTAAAATAATGAATATACAATTTAATCCTATACACGATATGAGTAGCATATTCAGAACACCTACCTATCCTATGAAGGATACTTTTATTCTATAGTTATGGAATAAATATGGCTATTCCTGGAAACTACCTAAAAAAATTCTCTACATTCCTTATTGGAAAAAAATTGAATGAGGCTTCATTATCCTTTGAGTTTGGAAATTGATACTAAAGCTTGAATTATTAGCTTCCTTAGTTTTCAAGTATATTTTTGTTTCTCATAAATGCAGCAAATTTAATTTTCTTCTCAGAATAATAGAAGGAAATGATTATATGCTTGACTGTTGTTTCTTCTGATCTGTGGACACTCAAGATAATCAATGGGAATGAGTTAAGTATTTATTGCATGTAACAACATTTTGATAGTTTTTGTTTGTTTTTTAACTCATTCCTTAATACTCTCTACAAAGCCCATTCAACCCCTGAGGCCTACAGTACAGTAACCTCATCTGGCACTTTAGTCACATTTTTGACACTTGTGCTTTAACTGCCAATACTACTTGAATTACTATATTATATTGTTAGATGCCTCCAAGTAATTAAAAACTATTTTTAATGTTTGAGTCAGATCTTTCTGATACAATCAAAATGTTATTTGTTGATACCTTGAAAAATGCAACAATGTAAAATGGTCTGGACATTTACTTTGCTAATGGGATTGCTAGTGTTACAGAGTTCTTTGTAATATTCTGCAAGTATACATCTAAGTAAATATACTTTCTTCCTGGTGATTACCTACATCTCCAACCTTTTCAAAATTTTATGTCTGTTTTATCTTAGTTTCCAAGGGTGTCTCACAAATGTTCATGGATAATACCTTTGTGAATCTACCCTGCTTTATTGATGTCTGTTGCGTACTCTGCTGGTTAAGTCTACTGGGATAGTCCACTGGGACAACATCGCTACTCTAATGCATTGTACATTCTACTGGTACTAGCAAGGCTGTTCATTTTCAAGGTTTTTCAGAAAGCTTGTGTTCCTTAGCATCATTAATGCACTGACATGTTAATGTATTCCTTGTGCAAGAGGGAAGAATATTCTGTCCCTTTCCCTTTGTGCTCATTTGTTTTCTGTTCACTTGGTATCCAAAGTCTAAATGTTAGTGATCTACTTGAGAAAAGAATCAGATTTGAATACACTAGGTATAATCTGCTATCCTGAAGAGACATCATCATGTCCTGTAACCTTCCTCTCTCCTGGTGCTTATCTGCACACATACATCTATCTCTTTTAAACAACAAGCAAATTCCTTTTATTTCCCAGTGCATAGTATATTTTAAATGTTTCTGATATTTTTTTAGGGTTCAGTAGGTATCCTGACTACATTAATGAATATGCAGTAAACGTATGCATATATATGTGTACATTTTTATGCCTACATATGTCTCCTAGAAAGAATGTGAACTTGAACTGGCTAACTTTGGATAGAATCAGAGTTCTCTGACATACTGGCTTCCCTTCTCTTACAGGTGACAATATGTGCCGAGGAAATAATGGGGGCTGTAGTACACTGTGCTTGGCTATTCCAGGAGGCCGAGTCTGTGCCTGTGCTGATAATCAACTTTTAGATGAAAACGGGACAACTTGCACATGTAAGTTTTGTTTGTCACATTCATTGATTATACATGTCTTTTTGAAGAAAAAAGCAGATGAAACCAAAAGAATTAAAATCAATCTTGGAAAGAGAATTGCAGGTAATCACTTGGGTATAATTCACTTTATATTACAAATAATTAACTGAATTGACTTCTATGAAAAACAGTTGAATAATGGTGAAATTTTCCAGAGCATTTGTGACTGCTGCATAATAGTTTAATAATAAAATGTAAATCAAATAGTTTAGTAATAAAACATACATATAGAAAATAATTTATATATATTTATATATGATATATACAGTTTATATCTATCATTTATATATTTATACATATAATCTTACATTTATAAAATATATATAGAGAAATGTTTATTAATCATATATATGTGTGTGTATATATGTGTGTGTGTGTGTGTATAATATGTCACAGAAGAAAATATTTCATAAAATTGTTAAGGAACTTCACCGTTAGGACAAGCTCGGTCTTCTATTTTTATTGGTGGAGAGAAAAAAAAAGGCAAAAAAGAGACTTAGAGAAATTCTAAGCTTTATCAAAATACTGAATTAATTGGATTGACTGACCTGGATTAAAGGCACTTTATTAACTTTTACTGACCTTTTTCAATTTGCTGCATCTTGTCATTGCAATGTGACCCTTTTGAAATTTGTTCTCTTTATCTATAACAAGTCCCTTAACCATACTGATAGGAGCAATGCTGTGTATGTATAAAGTATGAAGTAATAGAGAAATGTTTCTAGGATGATTTGATTTTGATTTTTCAGAGAAATAGAACTAATAGGATGTAAATATAGAGAAAGAGGTTTGTTATGAGGAATGGGCTCATGCAGTTACGGAAGCTGACGACTCCCAGAATCTGCAGTCAGCAGGCTGGAACCTGAGGAATACCAATGGTATAGCTCCGGTCTGAATGCTGGTAGACTGAAGACCCAAGAATAGCCCCTTTCAGTTAGAGTATGAAGGCAGGAAAAAAAAAAAAAGTCCAAGTTCAAGGCAGTCAGGCAGCAAGAATTCCTTGTATGTGCAGGAAGATAGGCCTTTTCATTCAGTTCAAACTGTTTTGGGGTAAGGGCCACTTACCTGCTTAATTTAGTCTACAGATTCCAATGTTAATCTCATCTAATTAACTCTCACAGACACACCCAAAGTGATATTTGACCAAACGTCTGGGCACTCTAAAACCTACCTATTCAAGCTGACATGTAAACTTAACCATCATTTTTCATCATTATTATTGAATAATACATAAATAATACATAAATGCATTTTTCCATCAATTATAAGTATTGTTTTGGGGGACGCAGAAGGAGTCTTTAAGTATAATAAATATTTCAACGTATCTGAAATGTTTTATTTCTTCTGAAGAAAGAACAATGTGAATAAGGGATTTTTACAAATGATTTAATACACAGTAACATTTAAGAAATATACAGAAAATATTTAAGTGAAAAAATACACCCAAATGCCACTATTCAGCAAGAAACAACTAAGACATTTTCATGTTGTTCCTTATAATTATATATCCCTGGAAGTTATTGTTTTTTACTACTAGTACTACTAATCATAGATAAAATTTATTGAATTCTTATATAGGACTTTACTATAAATTTTCATAGTTCTCATTAGCTCTTACAATAATCATATATGGGAGATACTATTATTACCTCACTTTAATATTCAGAATGTAGACTTGAGGATTAATAACTTTTCATAATTCACATAATTGGCATGTAGGACATTTGGAATTTAGACCCCAGATTATTTTATTTTGGTGACAGAATTCTTAGTTATATTGCAGTTTTACACATTCTGGATTACACAACAGTAATCCTTTACTTAGTGGTTTATTTTTTCTTAATAGGAGCATAAGCATCTTATCATGTGACTTCATATTCTTTTTAAACATGATTTTAAAATAATTTATCTTCATTTTTCTACTTGATGTTTGGTTTTATTTCTGATGGATTGTTATAGACTATTTGTGTGTTTCTTTACTGTTGATGATCCCTTCTGTATTTTACAATATACTCCATAGTCAGTTTGTTACATTTTCTTTTTTAAGCACTTAGAATAATACCACCAGTTTTAAATTTTATTATTATTATTTTGAATTTTAACTATTTGAGATGAAGACTGGTTTTCTTTATACTATTCTCTTCATCTTCCTCATTTTCGTTCCTTATTATAATTTAGGATTTCTGACAGGGAATAGTATTTCGAATCATCATCAGTAAGTCTTTTTATAAGATGTTTTGACATGTATAGCTAGTTTGATGATCAATTTTATACTTTCTTTTAGACCTGACTCAGCGCTTCACTGGTTGTATTGCTTAGTATTCAAACTTTAGTTCCTCATTGTTCAATTATTAATTTTCACAATGTTTAAGATAGATAAAGTATTTCCTGAAGTTGCTTCTCCAAGATGAACACAAAGACTGTATACTGTGGAGTTCCTGTGTTTTCTAAATAGGTCTCCTTTGCATTTATATGTAATTGACAATTCTGGATATTAGTTCTTGGCTAAGTTTTCTTCAAAATTCTGGAAATACTATTTAATTTATTTTGGGAAAATATACTTGAGAGTAGAAATACGAATTTTGCTTCTCTGGGCAAACTTTTTTCATTGTTGGTAGCAATTTTATATTGTCTATTAGGACAATTCCTATAGAATGTAATTAAGTGAAGTATACTTTCTTTGAGTCATAAGGTGGTTTCCTTTCTTTGTTCTGTAGTATTATTTTTTAATTCCTATTTTGTTGTTTAGGGAAGATATCTATCAAAACCTATAGTTTGTTAATAGGAAGGGATTAAGCATTACTTTGAACGATGTAATTCTTTCTGGTTGTCTGCTAGGCTAAATCTTATCTTGGTTATTGAGAGAGAAAAGTACATTTCTTAATTCAATTTTTAGTATCTACCACAAATTCATCTGAAGTTATTTTTCTAGTATAAAGTCAGATTTTTTGCTATTCCGGATAAATAATTTTGACACTTTGAACAGGTGAAATATGTGTGTACATGCGTGCATGCACACACACGCACACACACACACACACACACACACAGTAACCTCATGGACCTCCACCAAGTGTCAGCCTGCCTTTGCTCTACCTCCATAATTCCTCTCAAGGATGGAAGGTAACAGTGCAAGTATATCCTTTGTTGATAGATGCAGCCCTTACAGTGGATGCTGCAGGAGCAAAGGGTCTTTCTTTTTACCTAAAGATAGATAGGCTTATTCAATTTTTAATGGTATAAGTTAGAGAAGTTTCTGGCTGAATGTTTAAATCTTGTCCTATTGGTCTTGCAATAGTCAAAATTCCCTTAAGATAATGTCAGACAAATGATCAAGAGACTGAGTTTTCAAAGATCTTGTGAATTTTTATCCTTCATCTTAGTTTTCATAGTGGGAAGTTAGAAGGAGAATGTATACATCAGATATATCTAGATGTTTTTTTAAGCTTGAAATGTTCTAATTAGTTCTTTAATTTTTATTGTGTGAATCATAATTATCTGGATCATTGGCATCCAAATAATCTTTTCTATTTCCTTCATTCTATGCCCCATTAAAAAATTTATGGATTCCTTATGAGTTTGCATATCTATATACCTATATCGATATTGATATACAAAAGATACTGACCACTGGATATCTCTATGTAAATAAAAATTGGGTGACTTTTGGCTTTTAAGGAAATACTGTATACCAGTATTGGTCATATAGTTGTGATAGGAAATTTGTTATGACATATAGTTGTGATAGGAAATTTGTTATGACATCACGTGATAAAAAGAGAAATTTTTCTGTTACTACTGGTATCTTTCTAATATCTACAATCCCTTGTTGATGTAACTCCAATTGCAGTAAAAAGAGATAAGGAAGAAGATTATTTTATCTATTCTTGTTACACTAAAAAATATTAAATCAACAAAACCATCTACATTCTTATTTGGGAATTTATTGTTGCATTTGTCTGTTTGAAACTCTACTATATCTTTAATAGGGCATGCAACTTGCCCACGTTTCTTTCAAATGCAATGGGAAAAATCATAAATAAGCATATAATAACTCATTTCTTACAAACAATTCATAGCATGTTTATATAAATTATTTCATTTCATATTACCTTAATGGCAAAAGTTTTTCAAGGATGTTATCCTTCAGACACATGAAAAAGTGCTCAACATCATCCAAAGTCAGGGAAATATAAATCAAAACCACAATGAGACACCACCTCATACCAGTCAGAATGACTAAAATGAACAACTCAGGAAACAACAGATGTTGGTGAGGATGAGGAGAAAGGGAAACACTCTTTTACTGTTAGTGAGAATGCAAGCTGGTACAGCCACTCTGGAAAACAGTGTGGAGATTCCTCAAAAAAGTTAAAAATAAAATTACCCTGCAACCCAACAATTGCATTTCTTGGCATTCATCCAAAGGATGCCAAAATAGCAATTCGAAGGAACACATGCTCCCCAATGTTTATAGTAGTAGTGTCTACAAAAACCAAAATATAGAAAGAGCCCAGATGTCCATCAACAGATGAATGGATAAAGAAGATGTGGTATGTACACACACACACACACACATACATATACACAATTGCACACAATGAAATACAATTCAGCCTTCAAAGAGACTGAAAACTTGCCATTTACAATGATGTGGATGGAACTAGAGAGCATTATATAGACCAAAATAGATCAGAGATAGACAAATACTATATAATTTCACTCATATGTGGAATTTAAGAAACGAAACAGATTAACATGAGGAAAGGAAAGAAAAATAAAATAAGATAAAAACAGAGACAGAGGTAAACCCTAAGAGACTCTTAACTATAGGAAACAAACTAAGGGTTGGGGGAGGAAAGGTGGGTGGGGATTGGGGTAGTTGGATGATAGGCATTAAGGAGGGCACTTGATGAGCACGGGATGTTATATGCAACTGATGCATCACTAAATACTACCCC